TACTGTATGTGTTGAGAACAAAAATATGTAGCTTTTAAGGCAAATGTGCTTAGCAGGAGGTACCACGCTGCCCAGCTGAAGGGCTCGAACCCTAGCAGGCCCCTGCCAGCAGCCCTGGCACAGGAGCTTGAGAAGGACGAACGCATAAAGACTGAAACATTTGTAGGAGACCTCCTTGATGTGTCCTTGAATGGTGGCCGTGAGAATTGTATGTTCCCAGATTTGAGGATCATGCCTGTGTACCGACTTTCACAAAGCAGACAAGTTCTACTGATATTTAATCTTGAAATTTTACTCTTTTCATTTAAAGATTTCTGTCAGCTCCCAACATCCTAGGTATTTTTGGTTCTGAAGGCATCCTTAACAATAAAGTAGATCTAAATAGAAAATATGCCGAATTCTCATCCTGTAAGTAGGAATCCTACCCAATTACGGACATCTAAATCATGCGTTTACGGGGTATCTTCATTTCATGTTTTTTAGGCAGTGGCTTGGATGTGAGCCTTGATTCTGGTAAGCGTGAGGCGTTGTTGTTTTTATTTTAATTTTTATTCATTTAAAGACGCTTTTTACACGGTCCTTGGAAAATGGGGATGCGAATCCCTGCGGCGGCGCGCTGGGCACGGCTGCTGTCGCCCCGCGGCCGCCGCTCCGCAGCAAAGAGCATCTTTGTGTGAACGCGGGTGGCTCCCGTAGCGCAGAGCGAGCGAGCCCACGTCGAGCAGCCCGCGTACGCGGCCGGCTTTTCCGAGCCGAGGGGGAGAGTTTCCCCCACTATTCCTGCAGAAGCCATTTAGAACATGATCTAAGGAGAAAAAGAGACTTCATGAAGACTAAAACTGACTTTTACAAGGACTGGGAAGAGAATCAAAATCTAAATGCTGGTAAAGCATCTTACAAATTTTTGCACTCTCTCAGCTTTCTGGTTATATTATTTGCTATATTACTTTCTGTAAGTGCAAATGTGAAGTTTTAAATATGTAGCATTACTAAGGTATGCTATTACATTTAATGGTAGCAGAAATGTAGATGAGTTAACTGCTGATAATACCGACTGCCTGGAAGTGTTGTTATGTAAAAGGGAGGTATTGTTTTTCTCACTGTAACTATTTAACTTTTGTTTTCACTGCCTAAAAATAACCCGAAGAGGAGAAACAGATTGAAATATAGCAAATAATTTTTAATCTTTTCTACTTGGAGTGAGTTTAATATTGATGCAAGTATTTAGAAGCGTATTTTTAAATCCTTTTTCTTCTTTTAAATGTCAGCTACCCACAACAAAATACTGTTAAACACGATGGCTTTTATTCTGTTGCCTGTGGGAATGGAAGGGAATGGGGAATGAATAGCATTGATACTAAAGGGACTTTCCAGGATGACCAGAGACTTAAAAAATGTTCTGTTTATCGCTCCAACACACGCTCTGAGCGCCGGGCTGCGGAGCAGCTGGTGGCAGCGCCGACAAGAATTGGAGCAATGGGAAATCAAATTAGCACGTTTCGAAACTTTCAGATTATTTTTAAGCTCTGGGAAGGCACTGGAATTGACTGCCCCGTTCTCAGCAGCTCAAGGACTGTTAGTTCTGCCTTCAGCTACCCTGGACCTGGAGGAACTTTGCTCCTTGCTTGGCAGCTGCTCGTCGCACTCCCTGACTGCTGGAAACGCAAAAGCAAAATCTGAGCAAATGCAAGACCATGTTATTGCTGATTTTTTTCTCCTATATTTTTGCCTTTTAGACCGTTTTTTAAAAAGTAGTGTTTTAGGTGGGCAGTAGTGGGACATCAGATTCTAACTTAGTTGCAAAACGAGGCCGTGTCTCTCCTGTTCTGAGCGATCATCGCGGAATGTTTCTTTCCGAATGGCAAATTTTGTTTCTTGAATCACAGTTGTATCCAATTTTGAAGCTTTTATAACAATAATAAAACTACCAGAGAAAAGGAAAGATGAAGAATTGATATTGAAGGTGAAGGTTTTGATTACCTGTATTGGTGCAGATGTGGGGCAGCCCATGAGGTTATAGCTCGAAGCAGTCTACAGCAGATGGGCATTTTAGAGGTTCATCACGCACAATCTATTGAAATGACAATTACTGATTAAAGTGCTTTTTTAATGAATATGTGATTAGTTTTTTACTTGCCTATGTGTTTGCCATAGTAAACCGAAATATGGCTGTTTAAAGAAATAAATATATTGTGATCAGAAAAATCTGGTGATGACAAGAAATTAGCAGTACAATGTAGAAATTTTTGTCTAAACTGCAGGCACTTACAGCACCAGCTGTGAAATTGGATGGTGTTTGGAATCCAGTGTCTGATGCATCCACAAATACACTTTGAACCTGTACCAGCACGGTTGGTTTGATAAAGAAGGCTTAAATTTTTTCCAACTTACATTATTACAAATAACCTTAGTATACACACAGCAGAGGCACCATCACATAAATGGTGATTTTTATACCACTTTCAGCTGATATACCACTTTTCAGTGTGTATTTGTTTATGTTTTAGGGAGAAGCAGATCTGTCTAATATTGATTGCATATTAATGTCAACCTCACCTGAGGTTGTGTTGTTTGCTCTATAGTGGGGTATTGATCATCTCTAATGCCAATCTTTACTTAGAAAATGTAATCATATTTGTTTCACATCTTTAACTGTTTTCATGCAGATAAGACAATATTTAGAGCGTCTATTACTTGCCTCTAATTTCTTGTAAGGTGGAAGAGTGTTTTTGTGCTTAGGGAGGTATTTCACAGAGAATTCTTTCTGTTTCCTTACTTGACTTTTACCTGATCATGAGTCATTGTGTAATTTTAAACTTGGAGCTCCTTAAATACCTCCTTTTATAAGGAAAAAAAATGTATTTTATTCTTGTTTCCTGAAGTATAACCTCCTGTCCCCACTTCAAGCTGTTTTCTGAATTTTCAGCATAGGTGGATTAATGTAACATTAAACTATCCCAGTGCAGCTCTCCTTACTTGACTTTTACCTGATCATGAGTCATTGTGTAATTTTAAACTTGGAGCTCCTTAAATACCTCCTTTTATAAGGAAAAAAAATGTATTTTATTCTTGTTTCCTGAAGTATAACCTCCTGTCCCCACTTCAAGCTGTTTTCTGAATTTTCAGCATAGGTGGATTAATGTAACATTAAACTATCCCAGTGCAGCTCGAAGGTTAAGATGATTCTGGCAGGAAGTGAAGAGGATTACTTTAAAGGCAATGAATATGATAATTTCCACCCTAAATGTAATTGAATTGTCATGAGGCATAGAGCATGCCAAACTTTGATTCATACATTACTTATATAGAGGAGAAGAAGGCAAGCTATGGACACAAATGGTTTCAGCATTAATCAGGACATAATTTTTAGTGCAAATATGGTTTGCATTCCTTTAATCAAAGGCTTCAACTTTGTTTCAACTTCTGCTTTTTCCATTTGTGATGGTTTTTGAAAAGTCTGTGTCCTTTTTAGTATGTTTTCCCTAAATACAAGCAGTAATACGTTTGAGCTCTATTCATTGACAATGTCGCCCTATTTGCTCTTTATTAGTTGATCTGATGCATTCGCAAATCAAATCTCATTCCTCTTATGCTTTTAAAATAGTGATAGGAATTTTTTCCCCCTTTCTTCAAGCCCAATGGGATTCATACGTCAAACCTGTAAGCTTTCCCCAGATGTATGCATTGGAAAAGTAAGGATTAAGTTTGCCTTATGCTACGCAATGTCAGATGTCTAAGCAAGCAGGAAATTCGCTTTTAAGGCTGGAACTCTGTAAGGAGGTCCTGTAGCCCAGGCCTGTTTGTGTCTTGGAAAAGCCAGCGCAGGAGCACCCTGCGTGGGCAGCACCAGGCCAGGCAGCAAGGATGAATCCGCTCCCTTCTTTCTTTACAAAGAGGGAATTGTGTCTCGCTGCTGCAGCACGGAGCTGCAGGCCTTCAAAATGTAGCAGATGCAGTTGGCAAATTTATTTATTTTTTTTCTCCTCCAATAATTGCATAAACACATGACTGTCGGGTCTTGGCACGACAAGACCCATGAATGAGAGTAGTGCCATTGGCAGGCGGTGACACGTGGAAGGGAGCCCCAATGCGGCGAGCGAAGAAAAGCTCGTGGAGGTGGCAAGTGAAAGCTCCAAAGGAGGAGATGCCGTTTCCAATGGGGAAACTCGGGGCAGGCGTTTTGCTGCCATCGTGCCTCTGTTTGCAAGGATGTTTCTGGCCTCCGTGTAGGCTCTCCTGGAGGAGCGCGAGGAAGGGGCTGACGAGAACAGGCTAAGGCTGGTCCAACAGGCGGATGAGAAAGGCAGCCGAGCACAGCTGCGAGAAACATGTCGGTCACTTCTAGTAAAGAAATGCTGCGTTTGCACAAATAAGCGTGCTAGTAATGGCAGAAAACAGAAAACTCTACTACCAAATTGTTTTTCTCAAGCCAAGTGTCTGCAATGTTATCATATTCTGGTGTTTACTGAGCTGAATTTCATGTCTGAGCTGCAGGTCTGATACTCCATCACCTTCTCTGCTCAGGATAAGGTTAGAGGTTCCTTAAGGGTTAAGTCATGCAGTGTTTTTTGGACATTCCTCCTTCTAATCCCTCTGTGTGAATCTTTAAATCATTGCAACTTTTATTTCAATTTAGTATCTGTGCTTCAGATTTCTCATCCTTTATGAATGGTTGTTTAATTAACAATTAGGACTTTACTGCTTTGTTTGGTCTTCTAGTTTGTGGGTTATGATTTTTTTTTTAAACTTCCTGTACTTATTTTAATAGAAAATGGGGAACTTTCTGAATTCAGCAGTTGAGCAAAGTACAATTATCACTTAATATCCTAAACATTATTAAGATGTCACTTCTGCCTGCCAAGGTCATATTTTGCCTTGCTACGATTGCTTTGGCATTTCTCCACTAAATAGTCTCTCAAGTCAAGATTTTTCCAAATATTTAGCTACTGTTCTTGCTCACACGGGAGGAATCTCAGCAGCTTTGTTTTAATCCCCAACAGGTGCAGATGCTGAGCAGGATGCTGCTGTCAAACTTGCCCAAGAACGAGCAGAGATAGTTGCCAAGTATGACAGAGTAAGTAAACTTGCTAATAACGTGAAAACTCTGTATAATTAATCTTAGTAATGTTATAAAAATAAATCATGGTTTCCCCTTAGCTTTTGTTTGAAATATAGGGCAGTGCTGATCTGGTGGTTCCACTGTTCTGGGTATCATCTCAGCTCCTTTTTCAGTGTGAAGACTTAGGTGCAGGACTGGGGAGAAACAAGAAAAAGCGTGAGACTATCACAAATCCAGGGCTGAAATCTGCTCTGTGTGAGCAGTGACTAAACGTCTTCCTCCCCAGAATTGATGAAAATACTTTTGCTGGGGGATGGGAGAGGTGCGTTGCCTTCCCTGCTGGTGGTTGGTAAGTGGAGGAGTCCTGTCCTTGCGGCGCAGAGTACCCCCAAGGCTGTGCTTGAAGTGGCTGAATCGTATCTTCATTTTTTAGTTAAGTTGTCATAAATCTTGAGTCTCTTTCTTTCCTTCCCTTTTAGGGACGCGAGGGTGCCCAGATTGAACCATGGGAAGATGCTGACTATCGTCTTTACAAAGTCACAGACAGATTTGGCTTTCTACAGTAAGTAGCCGGCTTGGGAAAAAAAAAAAAAAAAAAAAAAAGAAAGCATTCCCTTTAATTATGCTTGTTTATTGGATTGATTGCTTGGTGAAAAGATTGATTATTTATTTTAGTAGATCTCTTGGGAGTTCTGTTTGCTGTTTAAAGTTTGTAAACTTTCATTGTGCTTTTCAATTCTAACTTTTCTTAGTTTTGTAACCTAATCTAGTGTGAGGAGTGAAATGTTTTTAAATATTTTATTTGGGAATGACAAAGGATGATATAAAAATGTGATTTTTTTTTTGAGCTGAGTTAAAATGCAGATAAATTTCATGTGTAACATAAATACTTAAACAAAAACTTCAAAGTCCGCAAAATGATTTAAAAAAAATATTAGAATATCGATCATTTTAAAAACTGTAAGTTTACATGGTAGCTGTGTGTGAACACTGACATGACTCAGTCTTTTAAAGTTAAATTTTATTTGACTTCATGTATTTAGAAAACCCTATTGAAGTCTCTGCAGGTTTAGGACCTAATGTTGGATCAATTTGTAAAGTCAGAAAATGTCAGAATCCCAAACAAGTTCATAGATGCCTTGTAAGAAATGATCTCTGTCTTTACCAAATGAAAGGTGATAGCATTAAATTGTTTTAGAAGCTTTGTGGTTGGCAAAGGGAAATATTTCAGACATACTAACTTGCAGAAATCAAATGCAAGCTGAATTGCTACTTTTTATAAAGTCCAGTCAAAAATTTTAATATATCCAAGCATAAATGTCATATACTAAAAATTGTGAAGTGTAGTTGGGCTATCTAGAAAAAAATGGCGATTAGTGGAGAAATGAATGTATTTTAGCAGTGTGTAGAATTTTTGCTTTTTGAGTTTTTTTTTCTTCTTCTTGTACTGTAATGTCATTGTTTTAATTATCTGTTAATTAAACAGTTATGTTTACCTGTGAACTGCCTTCACGTCATTAGGAGACAGCTTTGTGCAAGACTGCCAGACGGTGTATTTTACACATAGAGATCTTTGTGTTGGTGATCTACGGCTCTAGCATGTTGTGTTTGGGTTACAGGGAAGAAGAATGTTCTCAGTGGAGAATGGAGGGCAGGATTATTTCTTGTGCAAAAATTGTTGAAGCCGCTCTTAAGTTCACCACTGACACCAGTAGGAAGCGGGTCAAGGTCCCTGGGTTGCGAGGGAATTCTTGATTTGGGTGCTTGTATGAACTTCTGAACTTCTCCTTTACTTGAATTGTGATGTTTGCTTTTTATAAATATATTGAGCATGGAAGAGTGTTACTAATATCTGCTGCCGTTGCTGTTGCAGTAAGTCATTTCTGCACTGTGACTGAGTATCCTAATCTTTAGGCTGTACCTCCTTTCTAGTAATGTCCTTAGTCGCTGATGAAAAGTCTATGCAGGGTTTGTTCTCTACAGAGTCAACTTCAAGGGGTGAAACTGGAAAGATTTGTGGAATGTGAGCACTGCACAAGTGAACAGTGTTTGTAGGCACTCCGTCCCTTCACTAACTGTGCAGTGCTCTTTGCTTAGAAGCTGATCTGTGTCTCTGTTTAAGGCCGAGTTTGCTTGAGAGTATCATCAGGGCTGCTTTATGATTCTTCAAAGGGAGCTCATTTTAAATGACAATTCTATTTTCAAGAGTAATAAAATCTCTTGTGATATAAGAACTGTAATTAGAACGAGCATATCAAATGTCTTTGGGAAAGACAATGTATATTGCACTATCAATCACAGTTACGGTCTGGGGTTCACTTACACTGCAGTACAGAGCCTACAGAAACTACTGCTTCTGAAAGAAAGAAACTCTTGTTTCTAAGATGGTTTGAAAAGGCAAATGGCATAAATGCAGTGTGCATGAAAAGCTCCAACAGTGGCCTGGATGGATGTGATCCACTCCATTCACTGGAACCTTGAGGAGGGTAAGTCAGCGCTGCAGGTACAGTTAAACGTTCAGCACTTGCTGCGTCTTGCTGGCCATTCCTTCCTGAGCTGTCAAGGCCAGTAATTCCCCGTGAAATCTTCTATTTGCAGCGTGAATTAAAAAAGCAATCTAATGCACACAGAAAACTAAAAATGTGGGGACAGTAGCAGGATTAGTGGCATCATGTTAAGATGATTATGCACTTGCTGTGTTTACGTCCACAGCTTAAAATACAAAATAGCTGAAAAATTGTTTTTGTATCATAATGCTATTAGATGGGAGGAACTTATCAGAAATTCAGGTCTTGCCTGCTCCAGTGGAGTGGGCCTTGATTGCCATCAGTAGTTAGTAGTTTAAACCTTCTCCCCTGCCTTGGCTGTGTCCAGTTTGTTGCTTTCCTTGGCTCTCTTAACACATGTCCAGAGCTTATCTGAGTGCTGTTTGAGTGGGAAGATCAGCGTGGTGGGATGGAGCACGGAAGACTTTGGAAGAAGAGGGTTAGTCTTGAGACTTACCCTACTCTATTCAGAGTAGCAGAGGGAACATGCTTTTTTATGTAACGATACAGAAATCAGTAGTGCTTAGGAACAAAAATGGCGTTTGCCTCGAGCTGGACTATTTAACCTTGAGACTAACTTTTGTTTAAGGCTCATGGAGGGGAGTATCTGTTGAGTAGCTCTGCTCAGTTCCAGCAGCTCTTTGTAATGCTTAGGACCATGCTTATCTAATGAACTGTCTTCATTTTAATAGCTATTGCCTTAGGAAACAGAATTATGTGCTGTGATACTGTTCTCCATTTTGTAAACCTGCAAATGAATCTGAAACTTCCTTTGGCTTCAGATAGTAAAAGGTATTTGGTATGACCAGGCTATTGAAATAACTTTGCAAAGTGCGAAATCATTATAATAGTGAAGATTAATCGTATGAAATGAGTAGATGGAAATTTTAAAGGTGGATATGAGAAGCTTGGCCAATATACTCCCTGGGGAGCTGAAGGGCATCTCTTCCTGGCATGCTTAAAACTGGAAAAAAAGAAAAAAAAAAAGGAAAAAAAAAACACCCGTTGTCAGTGGGATGTGCTAAATTCTCAAAGGATTATTTTCAGTAACTTACAATTTATATGTGGCTGAACCCTGCATGAACCAGCAACCTGAGACAAAAATCTCATTATGGCATAAAATATATTTTAAAAAATACCCTTACCGATTGCCTTTGTTGCAAGACTTTGTTGCAAAGAGGTGATAGTTGAGCTTCATTGAAGCTATATAGTGGTGTGGGCTAAACAGCCTTGACTCTGGGAATGTTTATGTTATTTAGTGTGGACAATGAACACAATCTTCTGATTTGTGATAGCTCTGTGTGTGTATCTGGATATCCCTATAAGTGTGTATAATCTCGTGCCCTTACCACCATCCCAAGGCAGAAAGGCTGGCTCAGAGTGCCCCCGTGGCCACAAGGGCACTGCTGGGGCTGAGCTGGGGTGCTGAGGTGCCCTCTCAAAGCAGAGGAGTCGCCTCACGCTCACACTTGGACTCAGGCCATAGCGGTTGGTGCTTTACAGCGCAGTATTTCCAATCCTGTCGCATTAATTTCAGCTTGGTCAGCAGAAGAAAAAAGGTGAGCTAACACCGTTTCATGTTTCTGCTGTCTCATACAGTATTCATAGCATTGTTCATCCTAATTGCTATGGACGTTTTTCCATTGAGTGCTTTTGAGTCCTCCTCAGTCAACTTCATCTGGTACGTGTGAGGCAGGACCTATGAAAGTCGTAATTTTCTAGCAGATTGAACTTGGAACACCCTACATCTATGAGAAAGGTAGTTTTTCTCTCCTCCTTATTGAAGCCTGAGCCAGATTTTAAAATAAGGGTTCTAAAACTTTTCACTGTGGTCTGAGCTTTCAGGGGATCTTTGCGTTGTGGATGCTTCTATTGCATTTTTTCTTGTAGTAGTCCTTTACAAGGGAATGACTAGGAAAGAACGTAAAGAGACTTCTGAGAGTTTTCATCCTTGTAGCAGACATCCCAATAATTCCTTGGGATCTAGCATTTCCCCAATTTAATTTGTCGGTCCAGTCATTACTGCTCTGGATGGTTTAAAAACAAAAAACAAGGAGAACTAATCTGGTATTCCCTGGGGCAACTGCAAATCCCCTGCTACTCTACTCCTTGGAACATTTTGAGAGATATCTTTAGTTTTCATGAAGGCTGCTAAGCTGAGTATTGAAAAATTTATGCTTATGGTGGCTGTCACTTTGGGGTTTTTATTTTTGTTCTTTTTTTTGTTTAAGCATCTGTTGTATGAGGAAAGACCAAGCGAGCTGGGCCTGTTTAGCCCAGAGAAGACTGAGGGGAGATTTGATCAACATGTACAAGTACCTGAGGGGAGAATGTAGGGAGGATGGGGCCAGACTCTTCTTGGTGGTGGCCAGTGACAGGACAAGGGGTAATGAGTACAAGCTGAAACACAGGCAGTTCCATCTCCATGTGAGGAAGAACTTCTTTGCTGTTAGGCTGCCAGAGCTCTGGAACAGGCTGCCCAGAGAGGCTGTGGAGTCTCCTTCTCTGGAGATCTTCCAAACCCGTCTG